GAGGATACCACAGAGGAAGTCACTGCTATCCAAACAAAACATTGCTGCATGTTTACAGTTTGCACAAGAGCACATGGATGTTCCACAGCAGTACTGGCAAAATATTCTGTGGACAGATGAAACCGAAGTTTAGTTGTTTGGAAAAAACACACAACACTATGTGTGGCGAAAAAAAGGCACAGCACACCAACATCAAAACCTCATCCTAACTGTGAAGTATGGTGGTGGGGGCATCATGGTTTGGGGCTGCTTTGCTGCGTCAGAGCCTGGACGGATTGCTATCATCAAAGGAAAAATTAATTCCCAAGTTTATCAAGACATTTTGCAGGAGAACTTAAGGCCCTCTGTGTACCAGCTGAAGCTCAACAGAAGATGGGTGTTGCAACAGGACAATGACCCAAAGCATATAAGTAAATCAACAACAGAATGGCTTAAACAGAAGAAAATACACTTTCTGAAGTGGCCCAGTCAGAGTCCTGACCTCAACCCGATTGAGATGTTGTGGCATGACCTCAAGAAAGCGATTCACACCAGACATCCCAAGAATATTGCTGAACTGAAACAGTTCTGTAAAGAGGAATGGTCAATAATTACTCCTGACCGTTGTGCACGTCTGTTTTGCAACTGCAGGAAACATTTGGTTGAAGTTATTGCTGCCAAAGGAGGTTCAACCAGTTATTAAATCCAAGGGTTCACATACTTTTTCCACCTGCACTGTGAATGTTTACATGGTGTGTTCAATAGAACCATGGCAACATTTCATTTTTTTGTGTGTTATTAGTTTAAGCAGACTGTGATTGTCTATTGTTGTAACTTAGATGATGATCATATCACATTTTATGACCAATTTGTGCAGAAATCCATATCATTCCAAAGGGTTCACATACTTTTTCTTGCAGCTGTAAAACTGCTCAACCATCACCATTAGCTGCTCAACCATCATCAGCTAACTTATTACTTAACACCACAGACTCTATCACAGTCAGACAATCACTTATTAGCCTACACAACTGCCTACTGCAGTTTATTTAAATGCTCCTACTTTATATTGCTCACACTGATTTTAATTTTACTATTATCTTGTTGTGCCAACACTTCGTTTTCTGTTATGTTGCACTGTGATAACATGAGGCTCCCGTAGTATGATTTTGTACACATCATCATATATACTGCACCCATAAAATGCCAGCTCATTTACCATTGCCTAGCATAGATTGTTACCCCAGGCATATGCATTCCTTTTCACTAATCAGCCTGCAGAATACCAACTTCATCCTCTTAATTACGTGTTCTTGCTCTTTACTGCTCATATTGATCTTAATTTTATTTATATCTTGTGCAAACTTTTTATCTTTTATTATTTATATGTTGCAACTCGATATCGTGAGTTGCAACATATAAATAATCTAGTACACCTAGCCTGTTATGAAACAACTAGCCAATTAACCCACTATTGCCTAGCTCAGCTTGTTACTCTAGGCATATGTTTGATTTTCCTTATGTAACACGTATACTATGCCAGTAGTGATGTCGCGAACCCGAAATTTTCGGTTCGCGAACGGCGAACGCGAACTTCCGCAAATGTTCGCGAACCGGCGAACCGCCCGAAACGCCATTGACTTCAATGGGGAGGCGAATTTTAAAACACACAGGGACTCTTTCTGGCCACAATAGGGATGGAAAAGTTGTTTCAAGGGGACTAACACCTGGACTGTGGCATGCCGGAGGGGATCCATGGCAAAACTCCCATGGAAAATTACACAGTTGATACAGAGTCTGGTTTTAATCCATAAAGGGCAGAAATCACCTAACATTCCTAAATCACAATCAAT